TGACGGGTAGCAGGGATGTGCTTGGCACAGGGGGTTCTGGATAATCTGATTTCCTACTGATGGAGGTGTTAGCAGTTAGCAGCTGCTCTTGAAGTTGATATTGCTGGCTCCCCCCAGAAGCCATCTCTGCACCCTATCCAGCTACATGGCCCAGCAGGACCCTGTGACAGCCACTGTCACCTCCTGTACATCTCCTGTGCTCTTCCACTACACAAAAGGGTAAGACTATCCACATCTGCAGTGAAACTTGTTTCTACTCTTACACATTCTCACTATGCAATTCCACCAAGGGGTGGATGGATAATATTGCTAAGTCAGTCTGATGGGATGGTCCTGTTAGCCCTGCCTTGGCCACAAGCTGTGGCCATTTCTCTTGTGCTTCCCCGGCACCACAGATGATCATTTCCTTTCATCATTAGCAAGTTTAGGGAACTAACCTGTCAGGAAATAACTTTTTTTCTAAAGCCAAGCTCTTCTGCCTCCTTAGTCCCCAAAGCAGATCACTGCAGATAATTTCAGGATCACACAAGACACAGTGCAAGCAGAAGTGAGGGAGAATTAATGGGATAGAAAGTTGCACCTTTTGTCATTCAAGTTGCACTGAAAGTTATGCCATTAGACACTCTTTTAGGGGTTCTAAAGTAAACCCACTCACCAAAACCATCTGGGTTTAAAACCAGAATTCTCTAATCCAGAACCTTTTAGTTATCTAGTTTCTACCCCAGCCTGACAGGTTGCTGGCACAACAGGGGCACTAGGGAGCAGCCATGGAGAGGCAGGTGCAGAAATCCTCTAACACATCAGGGGAACTGTACACTTGGTCACGTGGCAAAGCATTGGTAGATGGCTCACAGGCTCAAGAAAATGTGTGTTTCCACTTACTCAGGGTGAACATTGAGCTTACAGACCTTTGGCTGTAGAATCAGATCTCCCAAATTAAACAACTCTTTCCCAGTTCAACACAGAGTAAGCAAAAAGTGAGGGGAAAAAAATTTGAAAGGTTCAGTGCAGGGAACCTCTTTGTCATATATGACATGCTTGTCATGTATTTGAAGGTAAGAGTGACAGGGTGGGTAGGAGATTCAAAGGCCATGGCTCCACTAGTGATTTTATAGACAAATCTGCAGCACAGCACTTTTTTTCTTTCCATACTCAAACCTACTTCAGGCATTGCCTAGGTGCTTGGATTTCTAAGTTTTTTTCTGAGTCATATATATTTTATTAAAAAAAAAAAAAGACAGAAGGGAGGAAAATAAGAACAGGTGTCATCTAAAAGTGGTGAAAGATTAAGCGAGAAGCAGCTCCAGAGACAGCCAGACCCATGCACAGTCTCCAGCATATGGTAACTTTTCCAGAGGTGTTGCTCCAAGCAAACAACTGCAAATGGAGATTATCCACCACCAATTTCAGCAATATAACATTTACCCACTTCTTACAGATACCAAACAGGTGAGTAATTTACCACTTCATCTCTCTTCAGTCACCTGGTAGCCACTTAGAGGAGTAGAACTTGCCCAGCTCTTATTTCAGGAAAGTCTTTTTCATTTCCTTCACATAGAGTTCTACCACATTAATGACATGGAGCTTAGATGACATGAGAAGTGGAACTCTTCCAAAATACATTTCAGTTCCTGTCAGAAAGTATTGCGTGCCTTTGTGCAGGAAATTATAAAATAGAAAATAAACATGTAAATATACCATTTCAACACATCCTCTACATCAAAGCAGACCTGATGGTTTTAATTTCAGCTTTTTGAGGTTTTGCTTTTATAAGTTGCTGAATTTATTTTGTAGCTCCTGTTTATGAAAAGAGCTTTAAAAGAGTTATAAATTACATTTATCAAATGAAGAAAAACTACAGCCATAAAGTTCCCAGAAAAAAGGAAATAATGTGAACCATGTATGTGCACTTGTGCGAGGACACACACACACAAACTTATGTATTTTTAAGTTAGTGACTGCTGAACCACAGACCACATGCAGAAGAGTAGAAACCACCCATAACCAGATGTGCCACTGTAAAACCCATATTTTAGGATATATTCTATGAAACCCTCAGTATACAGGAAGACGTAAGTTCCCACACTATTAATATCAGTGATATGGATTCCTAGAAAGACTGACTACCTTCACACACCTAAAAATAATCCAAGTTCCAACTGGGAGGTACAGCCTTGGGGAAGTAGAGAGGGGGTTTAACGGAGTTAAAACACAGGATTTTGAAAACCATCCAGCTTAACACAGACGTGAGAACAGCAGCAAGACATCACTTCAAACCTTCTGAGAACCAAGGGGCTGCAGAAGGAATTCCACCCTTTCCCACGGAGTTCATACATGAGCACTGCACCTCAGCTGAGCCCATCAGAGTGTGGCTTGTAGGGCCATGCAGAGCCCCCTTTGTTCCACCTGAAAACAGTGGCCTCGGGACATGCTTGAATTTTCCTGTTGCAGCAAAGTGTAGCACTGGGCTAGTGAAGCAAAATGCTTCAGTTCTCTGCTCTATCCACAGCTGAATAGGAAACCCCAATTCAAAGATTTCCTTCTAGCTATAAAAACAAAGCAAAGCTGTTTACAGGGAATGGAGAAATAGTCATTTCCAAAGTCCCTATCCAGCTGCAAATAGAGCATATAAGACTAGATAGCATTTTTACCTCAGAATATCTCTCACTGATCTAGTAGAGCAAAGTTTGTTGATATTCAGGGTTGCAAAGCCATCTGTTTACTCAGGCTTTTGTCTGTCAGCATAGTTTGAAGAGGTCACTTTGAGAGATCAATTTTTTTTCCTGGGGGTTTCTTCAGAGCTACCACAATTTGTTATTGCGTCTCTTTAGAGGCTTTAATTTGTGGTTTTCAAGATTGCATAACTGCACAGAGAGGTGGTGAGAGGCCCACATGAATAGTTCAAAATAAGTTTGACAATATAGTAAATATCTACTCAGTAATTTTCCCTGGACTGAGCACCGTGGAATGCCAAAGGAGTTATTAATCATGCTAGTGGATGAACATGGCTTTATGAGGTCTGGAGCATACGTTTCCCCTCAGATGTTAAAATGCTGAATTACCTTGCTGCTGACCCCAACTAAAGATGACCTACCAGGGCACTACCAACCAGCCATCTGATTAGATTGCTCTAAACCAGCCTATTCAGAACCAGATAAAGAAAAAAATAAAATGGGATTTTAATTTTGCCTTTTATTTAGGGTTTTTGTAATAAGTTACATAAAAATTAAGCAAGCTGCCTAGCCTCCCATGAGGAGGCTCAGCATTCATTTTTCCATTTCACAGATGATAGATGGAAGGTACAGACATGCAAAGTCACTTTTGGAGCACAAACTGCGCCTGGGGGAATTGCAGGTCCTCAGGGTCTTTGGGAATCTGCAGCCAGAGACCTGGCACTGGCCACAGGCAGAAACAGAGCACTCAGGAGCCACAGGCACATTGGGTTGCATGTCCCAAAGTCAGTGTGACAGGCACCTGGATGAGTGGCAGCTGCAGCAGTAGCTCAGGGTTGCATGAGCCACATTTGCATAGCAGAGGGCAGTGTTCAGCATTTTGGACAAGTAATATCCCTTTCTGAGGAAGCTGGTGGGAAAATGAAGTGCATGCTGCAAGCTGGGAACCCTTCAGCAATGGAGTGGCAAAGTTCTGAGCAGAGACACCAAATTACATTTAAGCTCTGTACTTTTGGGACAGGTCTCCATCTAGTTCAGCAGGAAGGAATTTGCAGGCCATAAATTCCTTCTGATGGGTGAAGACTGAAGGTGGCCAGTCAGTGTTCAGCCCTGCATAGTGAGCACTTTGCTGCTGATACACAACGATACACAACGACTCGCGTGTCCACTCTGGGGACAGCACACAGGTCTGCCTGGCCATGCCCGTGAGGTGACGCTTCAGTCCTCAGTTTAAGGATTTTGCCAGACCCAGTCCCGTGAGAAGCTTGTGTTTGTCACTTGACAGGTGCAGAGAAGTACTGCCGGCTCCTCCTGGGACGCCGTAAAGGAGCGTCTGCCCTGACTCGCTGCTCTCGGGGATGCAGCAGGACCCCAGAGAGCAGCGGGACATCGCAGACGCAGCGCTCTCCTCCTGTCGCCTCCGCCGTCCCCTCTGCCCACCCATTGTAGTGCTTCCCGCCGCACCGGCCCCGCAGCGGCCGCGATGCAGCCCCGTACTCCCGAGTGCCGTGTGGGGCAGGTGGCGCGGCGCGGGCAGGTGGCGGGGCCGGGGCAGGTGGCGGGGCCGGGGCCGGGCGCGGACGCCCCGGCCGGGGCTGAGGGGCCCCGCGCTCCCGCCGCCGCCGCGGCTTCTCGGCCAACAGCTCCCTCTGGCGGCCGCCCGCGCCCCTCCTCCGCCCGGGGCAGCGCCCACCGGCCCGCGCCCACCTGGTGCCCCCCGCGCCGGGGCCGCCGCCGCCGCCGGGGCCCGGCCCGCCCAGCGCGGGCCCGGGGGAAAAGGGGGGATGTGGCGGCGGGTTCGAGAGCCGGGTGCTCCGCGGCGCCGGGGCGTGCGGTGGGGCGGAGGCTGCGCTCAGGGGGCGACCGGGCTGCCGGGGCAGGGAGGGGAGGAAGGCGCGGGAAGGGACGCGGCGATGGCCGCCTGTCCCTGTCACCTGCAGGCGCTGCCGGGACGGCCCCGGCCCCCGCTCCCGCCCCGGCCCGAGCCCGCACAGCCCGTGGGGAGCCGGGCCGGGGGCGGGCTGTGCCTGTTGCATTGTCCTTGGCGGGGCTGCCCGTGAGCGCCCGCCGCTATCTGAGGCCGGGGACCCCGGCGGTGCCTTGTGTCGGACTCTCTGCCCCGCCTGATAGCGGCTGCACCCTGCTCCGTTGCACGTCCCTTGCGGCTCCCGCCGGGGCTCTCTCCCCTTTTGTCTGTGTATTTTTAGGTCATTAGAGTGGAGGGGTAGGTAATCCCCAGGCTCAAGTTCCAGAGGGGCGGGTTCTGGACGGAGGTGGAGTCACTTTTCATTTAAATCCCTGACTATAAAATGGGCTTAAAGAGAAGCGGGATCTCAGCTGTGCTGCACAGACCCCGGCACGCAGGGTGCGTGGGGGCCCCCCGGCAGCCAGCGCCCTGCAGCACAAGCCGCTGCGATGCTCCACTCCGTCGGCGTTCACACCTTGCAGCTGCTCACCCAGGCGGCCGCCTGCATCCTCCTATTTCCCCGCTTCCTGCTCACCGCCGTGATGCTCTGGCTCCTGGATTTTCTGTGCATTAGGAAGAAGATGCTGACGATGCCCACGGCGGAGGAGGCGGCCAGCGCCAGCGAGGAGCCGCCCCCCGACGACCCCCCGGTCTGCGTGTCCGACTCCAACCGCATGTTCACGCTGGAGTCGCTGAAAGCCGTGTGGCACGGGCAGAAGCTGGACTTCTTCAAGTCGGCGCACGTGGGTTCCTTGGCCCCTAACCCCGAGGTGATCCAGCTGGACGGGCAGAAGAGGCTCCGCATCCTGGACTTCGCCCGCGGCAAGAGACCCCTCATCCTCAACTTCGGCAGCTGCACCTGACCCCCGTTCATGGCCCGCCTGAGGTCCTTCCAGCGCCTGGCCGCGCACTTCGTGGACATTGCCGACTTCCTGCTGGTGTACATTGAAGAAGCACACCCCTCCGACGGCTGGGTCAGCTCGGATGCAGCCTACAACATCCCCAAGCACCAGTGCCTCCAGGACAGGCTGCGGGCAGCTCAGCTGATGAGGGAAGGGGCGCCCGATTGCCCCCTGGCCGTGGACACCATGGACAATGCTTCCAGCGCCGCCTACGGTGCCTACTTCGAGAGGCTCTACATCATCCAGGAGGAGAAGGTGATGTACCAGGGAGGCAGAGGACCAGAGGGCTACAAGATCTCGGAGCTGAGGAGATGGCTAGACCAGTACAAAACCCGGCTCCAGAGCCCCAGCACGGTGGTCATCCAAGTGTAAAAAGGACCTGGCAAGAAGCGCAGGGGTGGAGAGGCGAGGGAGGGCGGGAGGAGAGGTGGGGAGGGAGAAGGCACTGCGTCGCGAATGGCAGGAGCTGTCTTCCCGCGGGGACACTCGAAGGAGGCTGCTGTGCGAGCTTTCGAGCAAAACGTGCCATAGTCCTTTCTCTATTCAAATCATGTTGATTTGCCAGCCACGCTCTGTCAATACTGTATTTCCATGTGCGTTTTGTAAATAACTCTCTTTTTTCCTTTTTTTTTTTTTTTTCCCTAGCGTTTACTATTTTTTAAGGAGGCTCTCTTCCTACGGGATCTGTTCCCGGCTGCGTGTGTGCGCGGGTGTGTGTCTGAAAAGTTGTGTACAAGTGCTCCGTGCTGCCTAGCAAGTGCTAACTGGGATTTCTAGTATTTCTTTGTGATGACCGATTTTGAAATGGGTTTCTCTAATGCCAGGAAATCGCGTCTGATGTTGTCAAATACTAGAACTGCCAATAGCCAGAGCTGGACGGAATGTCCTATTTATGTGGGGGGGTTTTGTAAGACGTTCGTTCACCTTCCTTTTTTTTATGAATTTTTTTAAATAATAAAGGTTGAGTAACTACACGTCTAAGGTTGACTGCCTTTCTCTGTCTTCAGACCGCTACGCTCACTTTCCCTTTTGCCTACCTCGCAGCACCCCCCCGCAGCCGAGGAGGGGCAGGCGGAGCGGCAGGCGGGAGAGGATGCGCTGCCGGGGGCTCGGGGGCGGCGAGCTCAGCCTCGGCAGCGGCAGGAGCGCGCACCGCCCGCGACCCGGCGGAAAGGGAGAGGACTGGGTGTCCCCATGGGGAAATCCAAACCTCCGGGGCTCCTGGGGGGGAGACCGGTCAGGAGGACCCCGTGCTCCCTCAGTAACCCCGGCGAGCCGGCCCCGGATTGAGCCCTGAGCCCTGGAGGGCGAAGGTGCAGGTCTGACCGGCGCCGAGCAGGCAAGTGAGTCCTGACCGAAAACAGGCTGGGGAAAGCCGTCCTGGGCCGGAGAGCCGCCCCGCCAAGGACACCTCGTCTCGGGCGGGCTGTGCCGGACCGGAGCCCGGCCGGGGCAGCGCGAACCGCACCTGCGGTGAAGCGCGGCTGAGGGGCTCGGGCAGGAGGGCAGCGCCCAGCCCGGCCGTGCGAGGCTCAGCCCCACCCCCGGCAGATACGCTGGAAATGGTGCGGGGTGCCGAACCTTGCTCTCTTGGACCCCGACAGGTGAGACAGGGGGTGGAGAGCATCCCGCAACCTCCGCAGGAGCCATACAAAGCTGCCCAAAGACAGTGGGTCTTTAAGGACCACCCGTGGCGCCTCTGAACGCCTCCACGTCCTTGAGAGCAGCGGGACGAGGCGCCCGAGCTTTTAAGCCCCTAAGTTTTGGAGAGGGGTGCGCGGCCCGAAAGCAGGGCGAGCCGCGGACGCCGCTCTCCGCAGCTGGGCACCGAGTCGCGCCCGCAGTGCTGAACCGAACCCGCGGGAAGCTGTTTGTAAGGGCGTTAGAGCCCCTGCCTTGACAACGCTCCTCTGGACCCGCAGTGTTCCAGTCTTTCAACATTCACGGTTTAGACTAGCACGCGTAACTGCTCCCGCCTTTCCCCGCAACAAAAGCAGCACCGAGTGGTCCCTCACAGAGAAATCAGATGCTCCGACCCTGCTCGTCCGTCCCCTTCGCCCCCGCAGCCCCCTGAAAATAGGGCCGCTCTGCTGAGGTGTCAAAGGATCCGGCTCAGGTGCCCGCTTCGGGCTTCCCGACCCGCCCGGCCACTGCGCCTGCTCTGGCGGGGTCGAAACCCTTTCAGCCCTTCTTCACCTTTCCTCTGCCCCCAAGAGCGGACCCCCCGGCACCGGGCTCAAGGCACCGCTTCCGCCCGGCTCAGGTGCCTCCGGTTGATGCTGGGGCGGCGGGGCGAGAGCCCGCCCTGAGGTGGTCTTGCTTCCCTGGCCGGGCGCCGGGCGCAAGCACAGAGCCCTCTGCGAAGTCCCGGAGCGGAGGGGAGCCTCGGCGGCAGAGCCAGCAGGACAGGCTGCGGCAGGGCATCATCCCGCTCCCCCCGGCATCGCCCCGCTTCCCCCGGTATCGCCCCGCTGCCCCTGGCATCGCCCCGCTGCCCCCGGCATCGCCCCGCTGCCCCCGGCACGGGCAGCGCCCGCCGAGGCACAACAAAGGTGTGTGCGTGCCTGAGCCGCGGCCAGCGCCCGTCAGTGCCTCCCGCCTGCATGGGCACATCAGCCTCGGCTCCCTCCCGGCACCCCAGGAGGGAAAATGAGCGCTTCTCCCTGGTACGAGGCTCCCGAGCCCCGCAAAGCTCGCCCTGCCCCGCTGCGGGACAGCAGAGCCCCCGCTCCGCCCTGCTGCCCGCGGATCTCAGCGCGGCACCAGCCCTGGCCCTGCCCTGCTGCGCCTTTCCCAGCCCCACGCACGTCGTGCCGTATAAAACAAAGGCAGAGGAGCAGCGGGTCTCCTCTCTCGGCTACAAGGGCAGACTGTGTACGCGATTGCTTTTTTCTTTTTTTTTTTTTTTCTTTTTTTTTCTTTTTTTTTCTTTTTTTTTCTTTTTTTTTTTTTTACAGCTTAGTTTTCCTGACTTTACAATAAAGCCATTCTTTGCTTTCTCACCTCGTTATCTCTTTCCTTTATCCGCTTTTGGCAAGCTTTAGTTGTAATTCCGAAGTTACGGCAAGAGCCGGGCACATCCCCACCCCGGCCTGGCCCCCAGGACATTTTCCGGTCATACAGACAGAAATGGTCACTGTGGGCTTTAATAATAACAGAAACAGCCTCATCTTTACTCTCTACTACTAGCAGATCTTGGTCAAAGGCTATATGAGGTCAGGATTTTTTTTTCCCTAAATAAGTCAGCTTTCTAAAGCTACATTCCTCCTTTAAAGCGAACACAGAGATCTTATTTATCACTTTCTCTTTAATCAGCAACAGAAGAAAAATTTGCTATGAATTCCTGGAATCCCTGAAAGAGATCACACTTTTCCTTTGCACAAATCAAAGTTATCTGCTTCTATTATATCCTCCACTTAAAATGAATCATAAGCCTCCATCCCACTGAGCTTTCTCGGGGATACTTGTTTAGCACAGACGAGAACAATACGCTGTACATCTAAAGAGCCCCGGGCGGCAGAAGCCTCCCCGACTGATACAAAGGATTGAGAAACGTCCTATCTTTAAAACGCATTTTTAGTGCCTTTCCACCTCCCTAGTGCACTACAAACAGAAGTCAGAGAGTGCAGAGAGATTTATCAGAGAGAATTCTGAGTGGCAATTACATGTTCTGTCAATAATTAATTGAATTATGTCCTCATCATAATTACATACAGTCCTCTAGCCAGGAGGAGAAAGGAAAGAAGGAAGTTGTGGTGTGATCAGAGGGGGATCTCAGGTCATGGTTCCAGTCATTAAAAATGTGATGTAACATTGCAATCTGGTGTATTCTGAGACACAAATGGGGAAACACAAACGAAACCAACTACTAAAATCTTATTTGATTTACAGCAGGGAGATAGAAAAAGCACTTGCCTTCATTAGTTGTTTTCATTACTACTTTCTGCTGGGGATTTAAAGGTACTTTGCCATGCAAAGACCAAAGGTCTTGCTCATTTGAACTGTGACCTATATGTTATAGTCTTTCTGTTGTTCACCACATACTATCTGACTACATTGGGTGTTTCTGACGTTTGAAATAAAAATTTAAATTGGTCCAGAAATTAAAATTAGTCCAGCAAAGCATCCTATACTCAATACAAATGACATATTCAAATAGTCTTGCGAGAAAATTCTTACTCTGACACTTATTTCTCTGTACTTCTTCCAGTCATAAGGGAGATCATCATATCATTATTAATTTATTATTTACTAAGAGCTGTTAGAGTACTCTTTTGGTACACAAATGCAGGAAAACAAAGAGCTTGATTCAGTTCTCACACAAGTTTTGCACTGGTGTAACTTCAATGACACGGGTGTAGTCACTTCAGAACCACCTGGGTGTAATTATGATCAAAATCTGGGCTATTGCACTTCCTTTGCTTTTCTAATGGTTCAAAACCTCTATTTTTCTACAGCATGCTGTGGAAGACAGACAGCTGTTTGCATATAGAGCTCAAAAATCATTCTCAAGTTCCTCCTCACTGCCAGTGCCAGGGTCCTATATCCTGCCACAATTTAGGCATGTCAGCACATTTCCTCACCATTCTGCATCCTCCCTACAGCATGAGAGCTGTAAACCCCATCAATATGTGTTTTCTTCCACTTGTTAAGGCAGATCCTCCTGGTGTCTTGAGCTTTAGATCAGGTAGCTTTTCGTTCTAATTGCTTTTAAGACCCAGCTGCCAAAAGGGAATTTGACACCTGCTTCCCTCTTTGCAAATTTCTCTTTTCAGACAAAAGTTTGATGATGCCTCTTGAAAAGGGGTTCATTTATGACCTCCACTTAATTGACTAACTCATGAATTTCTCATCTTCTTGGCCTTCCACCTGCTTCTTCAGAGATTTTGGAAATGGTTTACACTGGTAAATGTACTAACACTTAATGGCCAAAAACATCTTAACTAGAATTACAAACAGTATTCAGTACTTCCTAAGTGAAAATGCATCACAGGGGACAAGGTTAAAATCCTTCAGCCAGTATGTTTTGCATGAGAATCCTTCTCAGGGCTTGTGCCCTCAAAAGTAAGGCTCCCTCATTCTGGTCCATGGAGTTCCTGTGCCAATCAATCTTATATCAGGTCTGTATGTTGTTTCATCCCTCTTTGGCAAATTAATAGCTCCGTCCTTACTTTGCTTATGGAAGCATTTGCTTCCATTTCCTTTCAAGTAATAAATGTCCTCCATCTTAAAAGGACCTTTAGGACATGGCCATATGGGGTAAGGTAGCTCAACCCCCTACACAAACCCCCAGTGGCCAGAATTACCCAACATGAAGGTGATCCCTGAAAGTCTGATAAAGGTATCCAAGAGCTGCTTTTCTTACTGGAGTC